AATAGTAGCCATGTTCAGGGAATGAGAGCAGGAGACCTGTATGGACTGAGCAGGTGCTCCCAATAGTAGCCATGTTCAGGGAATTACAGCAGGAGACCTGTATGGACTGAGCAGGTGCTCCCAATAGTAGCCATGTTCAGGGAATGACAGCAGGAGACCTGTATGGACTGAGCAGGTGCTCCCAATAGTAGCCATGTTCAGGGAATGACAGCAGGAGACCTGTATGGACTGAGCAGGTGCTCCCAATAGTAGCCATGTTCAGGGAATGACAGCAGGAGACCTGTATGGACTGAGCAGGCGCTCCTAATAGTAGCCATGTTCAGGGAATGACAGCAGAAGACTTGTATGGACTGAGCAGGCGCTCCCAATGGTAGCCATGTTCAGGGAATGAGAGCAGGAGACCTGTATGGACTGAGCAGGCGCTCCCAATAGTAGACATGTTCAGGGGATGACAGCAGGAGACATGTATGGACTGAGCAGGCGCTCCCAATGGTAGCCATGTTCAGGGGATGAGAGCAGGAGATGTGTATGGACTGAGCAGGTGCTCCCAATAGTAGCCATGTTTAGGGAATGAGAGCAGGAGAAATGTATGGACTGAGCAGGCGCTCCCAATGGTAGCCATGTTCAGAGGATGATAGCAGGAGATGTGTATGGACTGAACAGGCACTCCCAATGGTAGCCATGTTCAGAGGATGAGAGCAGGAGACATGTATGGACTGAGCATGCACTCCCAATTATAGCCATGTTCAGAGGATGAGAGCAGGAGATGTGTATTGACTGAGCAGGCACTCCCAATGCTAGCCATGTTCAGAGGATGAGAGCAGGAGATGTGTATGGACTGAACAGGCACTCCCAATGGTAGCCATGTTCAGAGGATGAGAGCAGGAGACGTGTATGGACTGAGCATGCACTCCCAAAGGTAGCCATGTTCAGAGGATGAGAGCAAGAGATGTGTATTGACTGAGCAGGCACTCCCAATGCTAGCCATGTTCAGAGGATGAGAGCAGGAGACGTGTATGAACAGAGAATTATTCACAAGTTGTTTAAGGCAGCTACCATGTAGCCTAAAGTGGATCTTCACCCGGATAAATACCGTAAAGGAATCTGTAAAATGTAAAAGGCCGGGCTACATCATAAGTGCTTCAAAAAGACTATCAAGTGGGATTCAATTATATGAACGAAAACAATAGATATTTTATTGAAAAACCAAACGACTTGTAGATGTTTGAGGGTGGGCATGCATTGGTGCATTTACCAGGGGTTTTTACTTTGGGGGTTGGGGCTGCTTTAAATTAATTTTCCGGCTTTGGTGATCAAACACGGTATTTACATTTACATAGCAGGTCAGTCTTGCTTGCATGTTCATCTAGTTGCTATATTGTAACAGCATTACATATCGAAATGTATACCTTTTTAGTAAACACTTTTAAACATCTACAAAATTAGAGCCATTAGAGCATAATATCTCATTTTGAAGTGGAGTATCGCTTGTAGTCACTGGTCTATGCTGGTTTCACTTATGTTTTAGTGGTTGGTAATTTTTCTTTACACAAGGCCACCCCCTACCCGTATGAAAACAAAACTGAAAAACATGCTCGTCCTTCACAGCAGAACAGCCTTGTAAGGCATTGCAGTCTTCGGGCTTCTATGGCCCTCTGCCAGAGAAGAGAGACAGACCACAATCCCCGCGCTCCTACACAGAGCCCACCTGCTACAGAGATAGATTGCAGTATCACTCAGATGTCTGGAAGACTGACCATAGACTGGTAGTTAAGCTGGGTATACACGGGCCTGTGCGCCGAAGGGGAAAAAAAAGAACAGATTACGAATTGAATCCTCGCTGTTTCTATTGTATTCTGACAGCGGAACCCGCTGATTGGCTGTAAGCACTATTTGGCTGAAAAGTTTTCCACATGTTCCTTTGGCAAAAGTCGATCTAAGGCCCTTCTTCCCATTTCCACTGGCAGGTAAATGCAGGGAATGGGCAATATAACTTTATTCCAATTTCTCAGTAAGGGAACGATCATTAGCTGCTCACACGGGTTTTCTGGAAAGCTGAAATATCTCAGTGATAGCAAGATTGAGAAACTTATCCCACACCTAGAAGTTGATTCATTAGGAAGCCAGGGACACATCCCAGCTCCTAGGTCTCCTAGCCTTCAGCTAGCTATATACTGCATTCTAAAGTTGCCACCTCTTTTTCAAGCAAAACCCGAACACTCTAGCGACGTGCTGACATTTTTTTGGGAGAATGTGTCGGGGCTTATTCATATGTAAATAGTGCCACCCATTCATATGTAAATATCACAGGTAAGGCTATTTTCAGTGGGGGGCCAGTAGCCCTTATCTTCATTTTGGTTGCCCCTGTCTGCGTGATATCTTGTGTCCGGGTTTCTGCTGCCATGAAACCCAGACACAGCATGCAAAACCCGGACTGTCCGGGTGAATCCTGGACAGGTGGCAACCCTACTGCATTCAGATGTTTGTGTCTACCAAGGGATCATTAAAAAAAAAAAAGGAGAACTGTACTAGAGGATGAGCAAATATTGTCTAAATAAAACGTCACGTGTGTTCTTACTTGAATCTTGGTGAACTTTGTGCATTTCTTCCAGATCTGTGCAGTAATCCAGTGTGAATCATTGAATTTGTGCAGAAGCTTCCTATAATATAGACCGGTCACTACTGTCCCCTCTCCTTGTGCCGAGTGACTGGTCTGGTCTCCGCCCCCCCTCCAGTAGTTTTCTTTAGGCCTGCTGGGTCCCTCCCACAGTTCTGCTCTTTGCACTGGCTATGTTCAGCACAATAATAATGTCACTGCTACTTGGTAGCATGGTAACTTGCTACAATGCAGGAACTGGACTTATATAGACATTTGGTGTCCACAAAGTGAATTTATACCCTTTGTGGCTATTGAGGAATATATTGAATGTTTTGTGTACCAAGTTCAGCTTCAACATACATGCTTTGATCATCTAAATACACATGTGAAAGTTTATCTATAGTCAAAACTTTTTTTTAAAGTTTTGAATAGCATGGGGAAAATTTAGAACGACTGGCAGGTTTTAGTGCCATCCGGCTAGAGGTCTGCTTTGGGGACAAGTTTTTACAAGACAAGAAGTGCAGGAAAATCTGCAACAGAGAAACAGACAACAATAAAAAGCAGATAGGGGTTCTAGCATTCCTCTACTTACCTACCTACAGGAAGTAAAGGCAAAATCCCTGACAGCAGAAGAGCCTGACAGAGGTTCTCATTCCTCCATGCTACATCCAGAACCAACAGGTTTTGGCTATAGATGCATTTTAACATCAAGCTAGCATTTATTCTTTCCAACTACATTATTTTAGAAAAAACTAGCCAGCACAGCACCCCCCGTTCCAATCACAAGCTAAACTAGTTCCGCAATAAGCAATAAGTGTGCACATGGTGACAGCTACTCAATGCAACCCCCAGGAACCAACTGTAAAATGTTGGTACCCAAGATCTGTCAAAACTCAGATCTAGGCTCATACACTAGCAGCAGAAAGGAATTCTCCATGCACATTCCTGTAAAAGGCCAAGTTCTCTCCAACATCTAGTAAAATAGACAGGTACGAGATGCACTTACATTACCTAGCGCTTTTCTGAAACTGCCCACCATATTTAAGCTACAATGTTAATTTGATGTTATGTGGTCCCCCCACTCCTCAGTGCTCTTCAGTTTCAGATTGGTTCTCATCACCCAAAGCTTCTAGTGCCTCCAGATCTGTTTCTATATGGGGTGTGTCATTACTTAATGTCCTCATCAGTGTACATATACCTTTCAGTGGTACCACTGCCTGACCACACCTGAAGGAGTGTTATCCTGCCCCCTACACACCCATGGAATAAATGATGGGTTCTTTCTTTGTATCGCAACCAAGCTCCCCTGACTTTTTCCTTTTGCCATTCGACTCCACTGTATTGGGATGAACTAAACACAAGCCTCAGCCTGGCTCCCTCTGTTCAAATGCCTAAATTAAAGGAAAGCAATCACAAGTCCTGCTGATCTGTCCTTTTAAACATGCTAGCTGCATGGGCATTTCTTGCTTCAATTCTCTGGGTCACGCATCTGGAATAAATATGCATTTAAAAACTTTTCAAAACACCTGAACAATGCCCATCAGATTGTTCAGGTATTTTGACAGCCAGTGAGGCTGACTAGTAAGATATTGAAGCTTGGCCCAGTGAGAGATTCCTCCAGCCACACAGTTTAGCATAGATGGAGGAGTCTGATGCACTTTTTCCCTCTGACAATAGAAAATCTGCAGAAAATCTATAGGTGTATGGCCAGCTTTCATTTTAGATATAGTGCCAGGATATTCAATCATGTGGTCCAATAACATCCAATCACAGACCTTGGAGAAAGTGGTGAGGTGTTGGAGCTCTAAATTTTGAACATATAAAAATAAAACCTGGATATGATCCTCACTTGAACGTCCAGGTAATATTGGTGCAAGTAAGTGTATCCAGAAGTAGGTTGTGGGAGCGGAGGAAGCACCAGTGGGGTTACTATTAGAATCACTATATTCAAACCAGTGGCAAGGTTTCCATTATCTATGGTGCATCCGCACCAGAGAACTTTTGAAGGAGGATTTTCTTATTTCACCCAAAGATGTACACGCCTAAAGAGAGGAGTGGCTTTTTTTAGTAGGGGGTTAGATTTGGATTGAGGACTTTGGGTAAAGGTTGAGTAGCAGAGAATGTTGAATAGGTCAACATCCAGGCTACTGGCATTTTCAAATGGTGGTCCCATATTTCTCTCATAATGGGGTATTTTAAATGCATAGTCTAGAATCACTAAGAACTGGACAAAAACACAAAAAGTTAACGATGCCATACAGTATTATGTCATTGACATGTTTACTGTCTTTGGGAAACACAGCATGCAAGTCTGTATGGTACAACAGTTCAACGCTTATCGGCATTTAATAATCAAACACACACAGGGTGAAATATGCACAAAGGTGAGAGCACTACATACCATTCTTACCTGTAAGGGTAAGAGAGAGTTGCTGTTGTTGTCTGTTCTGAACACATTGTCATCAATCCAGGATTTGGGAGCTAGGGATGAAGTGGAGCGTGTGAACTTAGGTGGAGCAATGACGTTTCCAGAGAAGGGTTTCTTTAGAGGGGAAATTTGATTCATTGTTCCGGGGATTCCCATGTTGGAGGTTCGGCGATCACGACCATGCATTCCACCCCATGACATGCTGCCTGTGCTCCAGCCGCTACCTTGGTGGCTGCTCCATGGAGACTGCTTGACAAGAGGCTGCAAGAGAAAAAATGACAATAATTACAACCAGTGCAAAGGAAGCAACCTAGTAATTAGACATTGTAACAAATATCAGTGTAGGGATATGTAGAACCCTGGGGATACTTTAAAGGCCGCATAGAATATATCCAATCATCAAACACCTGCCCTTTAGAAAACCGGAAAAGGGGTCCTTTGGATACCTTTGCAAGGTCACAAAAGCTGCCCCTAAATCATGTACTAGTATCAAATAGGATGTACTTACTGGGGGGAACATTTTTGAATACTCAAGGTAATAATGCAATTATCAGTACATTCGTTCAAATAAACACAAGTTGAGCCCAAAGTATCCGAGCAATCCTAATTGTATATTTACAGCAAGATGGCAGCACACATGGAATCAACTGCAAATACATCTTTATTTTTTTTAAGTCCATAAAAGGAACAATCAATTACATGTTTCAGCCGTGCTGGACCTTAGGCCTCTCATGGTTATAAAAGGTGTTCCAAGTGGCAAACAAGCCAATGCCAACAAAATTACTACAAGCAACTAACATGTTTTAAAATTTAAATTATGACTAGAAGCTCCTCGACTGGACTGACTGGCTCAAGTTAACATATGCTCATCTCTGAAACAAACCACTCTACTGGACAGTTACAATGATTGCAATTGTATAAACTAACAAACACCTAGCAATTCACCTATTTCTATTGGTTTGTCACAATTAAACAAAAGAGAAAGAAGAAAATACACACACAAAAAAAAAAATTTCACCACTCCACTACGAAGACCAAGGAAACAACTGTATAAGTAACCACTGCAATCCTTAAGACCCCTTTCAGACAAGCTGATCAGGAGAGAATCCATCAACAGATCCTCTCCTGATCACAGCGCTACGGATCGAATGTCCACGATGTGACATCCGTGTCCGTACAGGTTTTTCCTCCATCTTGATAAGGAGGTAAAAACTGACACTGCCGGACCCCATGTGTTTCTATTGGGAATCTGAAGTAAACAGACATGTGTCCATTTACATCAGATTACCCCCGGTCCAGCATGATCCAGTCTGTCAAAAAGAATCTCTGATCCGTTTGTTTTTTCAGGAAACTAGCCGAAGCCGGGGCTAACTGGGTGTAAATGGTTTACTCGTCCATTTAAACACGGCTTCCCATAGACTTGAATAGATTATCCGATCGGGTCCAGCTGAAAAACTGACAGGTGGACCCGATCGGACACTCATGTGAAAGGGGCCTAAGTGTCACTAAACTCAGGAATTCAATCTTAAAAATGCATTCAAATGCACACTATTAACAAAAACATATCTTATTTGTGTATCACTCGGCTGTAGATCCTCAAATCATCTCTGAATTGGTGCAGACACTGTCTTTCGTTCTGGAGGGTGGCTACTTTTGCTCCCATGGTCCCTGTGTTTTTTGTTAAAGTAGACACCGCTCCAAGATCACCCCCGTGATGGACTACAATCTCAATACAAATGAGTAAACCCAAACATAAGAATGTAGTCCATCACGGGACTAAATTGGAGTGGTGGCTACTTTACAACACACACAGGGACCATGGGAGCAAAAGTAGCCACCCTCCAGAAGGAAGGACAGTGTCAGCACCAATTCAAAGATGATTTGAGGGTCTACAGGCAAGTGATACACAAATAAGATACATTTTTGTTAATAGTCAAGGTACTTGAATGTATTTTAAAGATTTCACTTCTGAGTTTAGTGTTACTTTAAAGTGAACCTGTGCTTTACCCATGCAGTGCAAACCAACAGATTTACTTCAATGGAGGAATGGTGGCTTTACCAACCGCTTATAATTTACATGTCCTTCCCTTCAAAACCCCTCACCACCCAATTCTTCCTGGATAGCACTGGCAATTCACCGATTTATTCTATTTAGTTTTAAAGGTTTGCCCCTAAAAAGGTTGAAATAGTTTTCAAAATTAAACCCAATCCAAAAATCCATCACTTTCTGCATGTTAGAGTCAATCATCATCTATTACTGATCTATTAAGTTTAGATTTACTAAACTATAAAGCTTAATAATCTAGGGAAATTATTTGAATTCTAGAAGCATTTACACAGCACCATGGTTTGCTAAGGCAGGTTTAAAATAACAAGCTTAGGTCCCCAGTAACAAACTGTTCTTAATATGTTTTAAATACTAACTGCTATAAATTACTCAGGAACAAAATGTAGAGTCCTTCCTTGAGTACAACATAGCAAATACCTATCAGAAGAGGAAGTAAAACAAGGAATTTAAGGATGTACATTACACATCGTAGAGGGAATTTAACACTCAATGTTTGGAAATTCACAGATGTTACATTTACACTGCAATCTAGTAAAAGCAGCAAACCAATATCAACAGCTTCTACCAATTATCAAAACCACATTACATCCCACCAGTTACAAAATTCTATGTTTAGATCCAAATTAAGCAAATCCAGGCGATGACATTGGAGGCCAGAAAACCATAAATATGCTGGAAAATCTACTTATCAAAATGGACATTAAAGTATTTATATTTTTACATTTGTGCTGTGTGTTCACATTAAAGGGAGGCTGGTAAGATTCTGCTCTTCATAGAAAGTAATAGGTAAACAAGCAAGAATTCCATTAATTTCTCTGCAATACCTATAGCTACAGAGGTGAACGTGGCCTTGTGCTTTTACTGCTCATTCAAATATGCAAATACTTGTGTTCCTAGTCCTAGACACAGGTTCACTTTAATGGTACAAATAAAAGGCTTTCCTTGTGTGCTTTTGCCATCTAAGTTGACCAGACAGTAACAAAACAGATATGGGGTGCACTTAAAGTGACATTAAACCCTCAGATTTTTTAACATAAAACAATACTGTAATGTGTGCCTTAACGTAATCCATGGTTGTTTCCCTTCTCTTTGCTGCTCTTCCTTTTAAATCTGTATCTGTTCTCATGCTGGGCAGAACTTCTGTTTTGCAGCATAGTTATTTCAAAAGTATTTTATTAATTTTCCAAAGTAGAATAAAACAATAAAATAGCACATGATGCACAATCGGTATAGCATACAATTGCATTTCAGATTCTTCCACATTAGCATAGTCAAGTAGTAGGGGGGGAATCACTAGATGCCATACACACAATATATAAAAGTTCTGTAAAACAGATCATATCTATCACCCTATTCTTGCCAATTTATCCCCGAAGACATGAGGATTTAAAAGGAAGAGCAGCAAAGAGAAGGGAAACAACCATGGATTACAGTAAGGCACACATTACAGTATTGGTTTATGTTAAAAAATCTGAGGGTTTAATGTCACTTTAAGAAACAATTTTTAAACTGTGCTCATGATGATGTGACATATTTCTGTCAATAGGATTTAAAAGTGTAAAAGGATTTTCGTTGTTTAAAAGAAAAGAAAAAATTGCAATATGGTAAGGAACCAACAAGCAACAACATTAAACATCTGCAAGGATTGTGACACATACAGCATTACCATTAAGGTTAAAACAGAGGTCTATTGCTGTAGCAGAAACATCTTTTATGTAGGTTTGTAATTTATTCTGATTGTTAATTGGGAATTGGGTATACAGCCATGGCTTTTTAGCTTTCATTAGTGTGCGGCATTTAAAAGTAAAATTACCTCTGCAGGTAGCAACAGCAGGATACTGCAAGGCCTAGACTATAACTGCAGCAATCATGAATGAAATTTGTTGGCGAAATGCTGTGAGGACATATATTGTATGATCACATATTTAGATATGCATATGTAACGTTCTTCTGAGGCGTAGCAGATTGTAGCTTTATAATTGTTTCTAAATAAAACTGCACAGAGCTATAACACCCAACTCAACCCAAATCATGTGCAGCCTCACCTTGCCTATAAATACCCTACTGTTAGGTAGATCAGCTGAGAAGATTTCAGCTCACATGGTTGGAAGCCTAGGTGCACAACATGTGTGGTCAAAACCCAAACTCTTAAAGGAGAAGTATGAGGTGAGTGCTTTTCACTCACCTCATAGTTCTAGCCGACCTGTGACAATGAGACTGTCACAGGTCGGCTCAGTAGATCGGGAGGTGAGCGAACACATACCGGCATTCGCTCACCTCTCGATCCTGTCACGGCATCCTGCCGTGACGGGCTGGATTCCCCCCTCCCCGCTCTGATCCGCTAGCGCTGGCTGGCGGAACGGACGGGGGAGGGGGCGGGTACAATAATACTGTAAATAAAAAAGTATATATCTAACCATAACATTTTTGTTAAATGGATTGTTTGGGGTTCTACTTTTGTCCTGGTTTGTTACATCATTGGACAGCAAAAATAAATGTTTCAAGGTTATACAATTGTTGTTAGAACATGCGGTAAGGGGAAAACACCGGCCTGTTCACAACTAAGAGGGATTTCTGCTCATTTCCCCTTGTTTTACCAAAGCAGTACGTTAAAGGGGAATATCGCTATCGGGACCCAAACTGCATAGCTAGAAAATCTGACTGGGGTTATAACCATTCCCAATTCTATCCAAAACTAAAAAAAAGTTGTGTACAAGTTCCTCAGACTGTTGTAAGGGATATTTATCTGTTCAAGTGAGACAAATTTTGGGGTCTGGAAAACAATGGATAAAAGAAAAGTTGAGATCCCCCCCCCAAAAAAGCTTATAAAAGGCATTAACACTGAAGGCCACAAGATTAGTCCTTGAGACCTTTAGTCAGTCTCTCGCTCTCTCTCTGATATTTAAAGAAGAACTCTGAAAGGGATCGGTCTTTCAGCCAGCTGGCTGCGAGGTTGAGCTGAGTATAACTCTTTTACTTTTATCCAGAAACAAAAATAAGCACTTAACTTTTGCAGGGCAGGGGTAGTCCCATTGCAAGGGTTAAGAATAATTCTGCTCAGAGTTCTTCTTTACATACCCCACTTAAAATAAACCCAATGATAGAACATGTTTAAAAGGTAACATGGAGGCTGTCATGGTTTACCTTTCCTCCTGAAAATGCTAGCTGCTTAGTTGTCACGCTGACCCATACA